CAGGAAAACAGAGATTCTCCTTAAGCAGCATAGCAGTTTTTGCTCACACACAGTGTGCTGTGTGTGTGTGTGTGCACATATACATGTGTGTGTATACAAATATATGTATATATCTAAATATATACGTACATGTATATATGTGTGTATATATATGTAATATATACACATGTGAGCTACAGTATAAGGAAGAGTTAATCTTTTTAATATTTCTTGAAATAGCAAGTAGCATTGAGCTTGCCTTAATACCCTGCCAACACATGTTGAGGCCCTATTGAGACATGTTTCGCATATACATTCTTGCCCAGGAGACTCAAAGGGGTGGGAGCTGCTCTTCTGGAAGAGAGGAGTCTTCAGAACACACAGTTTCTAACAAAATATTCCACCATCACCGCCCTGCCTCCTCATTCCCTCCATAACAAGAGTATATCAGAATGAAGATGCTCAAACTGATAGATTCCTGGCTTCCCTTCTAGAAGAAGCACCTAACTGTCCTCCAAAATAGACTCACTTTTAAGGGGCGACCCACCAACTCTTGGCTTGAAAGGTTTTCTGTAGCACATTTGTTCCTGTGGAGAAAGGGTTTTTTAAGAGGAGAGACAGTGATTAGCCAAAGGGATTTAGGACAAAACCCTAAAAATAGGGTCAGAACCTGATTTGGTGAGTATTCTCTATCCATACTTTCTCAATAAACAAATTAAGTCTAGAATAAAGTATAATTGGGGACTGGGGAGATGGCTCATTTCTTACTGCACTTGAAGATCTGAGTTTTGATCCCCAGCTCCTGTGTAAAGGGCAGGCTTAGTGGCACTTGCCTGTGACCCTTGAGCACTTGGAAGGCAGAGACAGGCCGATCTCTAGAACTCACTGGCAAGCCAGCCAATCAGTGGCTTCCAGGTACAGTGAGGACTCAGTCTGAAAAAAGAACAAAGTGGAGAGGGATTGAGGAAGACAATGTTGACTCCTGTTCTCCATATCCACCTGTGTTTACACAGACATGTGCACACACACCTGAAATACACCAAGAAAGTAAATGTCCCTGTTGTATAAAGAGGCTGAGATTCAGCGAAGCTGTGGGGCTGGCCCATAGGATCGGGATTCCCAAGTGGCAGAATGGGAAGAGGAATTTCCTCCTTCACCGGGGGACCTCCAGACGTAAGCCGCTTGACTGAAGAGAAGGGTGGTGAGGAGAGCTGATGACTGAGTGTCTCTTCCTGCTGACAAGTGTCTGCCAGCACTGCCAGTGGCATTCTGCCAGGTACTGGGGAAGCCTGTTTACAGAGGAGGCTCTCAGGTTCTCCATGTACTGACAAGACCAGGGGAGGGAGAGCTCTGTAGTTGGCAAAGAACATAACTCTAGGGTGTTTCTCTCCCTTCACACTTGAAATAAACTACTCTCTCTGACCCTGGAAATCCCAGTTAAGAGGTCTAAAATCTTCTTGAATTAATGAACTTCGAATTAGAAGAAAAGTAAACCACTAGATCTGGGTTCTGGCCTCTTTGTCTATATGGCAACAGAGGTTATGAGTTATGGAAGGAATCGTGGTGGATGGAGCTGCCTGCTATGCAGTGCTGGGGTGATTAATATCCTGGTTACTAACAGAACAAAAATCTCTCCTTGCCCTCAGGGTGAGCCAGCATCTTCTGCAGACAGCTTGTTGTTTGTTTGCTTCTATTTAGTTCAATGGATGTATAAATACTTACACATGAATGGCTGGGTGTGAGAAGTAGTCAGGAAGCTAGGAGTCTGATCAGCCACCGCTCAGGGGTGCTCCAGAATAGCAAAGACTTCCAGAGGAAAAAAAAAAAAAAAAAAAAAAAAAAAGAGTGCCTCAGATCTGATCTGTGTAGTCTCTCCAAGCTTGGAACTTAAAAGTCCGAACGATAGCTTAGGGTCCGGCTTTTAGAAAGAATTACAAGTCAATAAAAGGGAAGAGTTTAATTTGGCAGAAGAGAAAGCTAATGTTTTATGTAGAGCTATAAAAGAAGTCTCAAGAAGGTTATTCTTTGGTTACTAAGCCTAGCATTTATTCTAAATCTCACCTAAAGTCCCAGCATAAGATGAATGAGTCAGCAAAAGTTCTGGCCATGTGAATGGGTCAGGCCCCTTGCAAAAACCTGCGCCTCATTTGAGCCTCAGACGGTGATATTAGCTCCATTGTATCTGGAGGCACTGAGAGATCAGGTAGAATGCCTCAGAGTTTTCAGCTCCTTAAAATAAATAAATAAATAAAAACTCCTCTTCACCAGCAAAGTCTCTAAGATCTTGAGTACAGACAGCATGGAAAACTTTGATGGGCACTTGGCTTTGTAAGTACTTGAAGGCTGTTTCTAGTTCTTTCAGGAGCGTCATTGACTGCTAAAGGAATCCGACAACAGGATAAAATTGACACCTTTGAAGCACAGAGCATGCATGCTCTACTTAAAGACAACTGAATATTGTAAATAAGAATCGTCATGAAGGATTGCATAATGAGTTTGAGCTTGGAACAAGTACTAGCAAATGGCTCCTTTCCACTCCTGATGCCCTGCGATGTGCTAATATGTATATATATATATATATATATATATATATACATATATATATATATATATATATATACACATATATATATTCCGGTTTGCCGCAGTGTCCAGGAATTCATGTATCATAGAGTAAGGAACACCTAACTTTTAGTTCCTCCCTGTGGCAGACTTTTTCAACAGAATGCCCTTTGAGCAGGGTGCCCATCAGTATTGGCTCCTCACTGCTGGGTGACTAGTAGCAAGGGCAGAGGCTAATGGCCTCAAGATTGGTCACAATAGGTAGACAGAGCACTTGTCATCTAATCACGAAATAAAACCACAAGAAACAGGAAAGGTGAATGGATTTATGCTGTCCCACTGTGCCTGAGAATAGGTCAAATCAGTGCCATTTAGCCACAGAGACATCCACATGTGAATCAGTTGCCATGGAAATCCCTCCATGTTGGAGCAGAGAGAGCGAGCGTGCTCCAGCTCAGCTAGTGGGGAAGATGTGAGCTCCTGAGCAGCCTCTGGGCCACAGGGAGTGAGGCAGGCATGTTTCCATTCTGCAGGGGCTAAGTCTGCACCAGGAGCAGAGAACAGCTTGTAGGGGATCCTGAGCTTCCAGTATTTATTAAACCAAGCTGCTTGAGAAATTTAATGAGGATTCCCACAGAATCCATCTTGTAGGTCTTCTCTCTGGAGTAACAAGCAGCAGACTTAGGAAGAGGGCCGAGACACAAGGACCTAGGAGCCAGAGCTCTGCCAGCTGCTTGGTACCAAGAGGGCGACACTGGCCCCAGCAATCCATTCAGGGAAGTGCTGAAGCCGCCACACAGCTTGCCTGCCCCTAGCCCACCTCCCCCACTGCCTCAGCATGGTAGTGCTATATTATTTAAGTATCTGAAATACCATGTGTGCTTCTGGCCACTGTGGATGGACTTGGTGGATCTCTGAACCCCTGAAGTGTGTGCATGGCTCGGAAAATGCATCTATATTTTTCTGCACAAAGGTTCTATGTGCAATCACGTTCTCAGAAAGACCTTCGGTGAAAAGTGAAGTTTGAGCCAGGACTGGCTCTGGCAGGGACACTCCAGGAAGCTGGCAGTCCAGTCCTCCAGTCTGGATTAGCCCCTTCTTAAGTGCAGCCCTCATATCTTGAGGCCTGCCACTGAAGGTGGTGGGTACCGTATCCTAGCCTCAGGGAATGCTAGAATTCCTGAACAATGAATTTTTGGTAGTAACTTATTTATTTTTTTTCTCACCCTACAAATAATGCTCCTCAAAACAGACTAGAGTCACCTGGGATTTTTCTTTTCAGTGCTGAGGATTAAACCTAAGGCTTATATTTTGTTTTCGAAATTCTAATGACTAGGGCTGGGACGCCAGCTCAGTCCAGGCCATAAGGTGCTTGCCACGCAGGCAGGACCTGATTCTCACATTAAAACAAATAGAAACAGTGTTGCAACTCCAACCTAGGGAAGCAGCAGAACAGGCAAGTCTCTGGAGGTCCCTGGGCAGCCAACATAACTAAATCGGCAAGTTTCAAGGCAGTCAGGAACCCTGTCTCATAAGAAAAAGTAGATAGTACCAATGATGGCTGTCCTCTCGTTTCCACGTTCACACATGCACAAAATACTAATGACTGAGCCCAGGATGGTGGCAAGTACCCAGGTACCTGTAATCCAGATACACTAGATGCTGAGCCAGGAGGATCACATGAGCCTGTGAATTAAGACCAGTTTACACAATTTTTGGTTGTTGGTCTGAGGCAAGTCAAATAACCCTTGAGCGAAGAAATGAGAGCTGGCAAATAAACCAGCAGATTGCCACAGGCCTGAGTTAAGAATGGGGACGGTTTTCATCTCCTCTGACATTTCTGATGGTGGCTGCGAGTATCTGCTGCGAGCTCCGCATGGGAACAGTTCACACCAGTTTAATAACTGGCAAAGAATAATCACGAATATGTTTGTCCCGTTTCCCGTTTTAAACCATAAATGTGTCCATTTATGTGCTCGCACAGTATGACCTAGTCACATTCTACTTCTGGCCCCTAGAGCCTCCAGTTAGCAGCCCACACAGCCCTGCAAACCCCATTCCAAGGGCAATGTGCAGAACCACACACCTCTTTGAAATTTACTCTAGGAGGCTAATACTAAGACGACTCCAGAAAAACCCTAATTCCTTCTCAGAATAAAGGCAGCTGTCACTTATCTTGTGTGACTGTTACAGTGGCCAGGTATAATACATAACCATCCTAAATACTTCTCACATGTTAACTTAGCCGGCTTCAGGCTCAATGGTTTTGTCTGGGTAATGAAGGCAGAACTGGGATCCACGTTCCCATAGTTTGCACCACCGAAGCAGAGGGCCCAGTTATCCAGCATAATCTTCCCCCAGCCCTCTAAACAAAAGCACAGCCAGGGATGGAAGAGCCCTTGTCTGCAGTGGGCCATCTAGCAGAGCCAGACTCTGAAATGGTCTCTTCCCTCCAACAGGTTTCATCCCCCCACCTCTCATCTTTGGGGCCGGCATCGACTCCACCTGTCTGTTCTGGAGCACCTTCTGTGGGGAGCAAGGCGCCTGCGTCCTCTACGACAACGTGGTCTACAGATACCTGTACGTCAGCATCGCCATTGCGCTCAAGTCCTTTGCCTTCATCCTCTACACCACCACGTGGCAGTGCCTGCGGAAAAACTATAAACGCTACATCAAAAACCACGAGGGCGGGCTGAGCACCAGTGAGTTCTTTGCCTCTACTCTGACCCTAGACAATCTGGGGAGGGACCCTGTGCCCGCACACCAGACACATAGGACAAAATTTATCTATAACTTGGAAGACCATGAGTGGTGTGAAAACATGGAATCCGTTTTATAGTGACTACAGGAGGGCTGAACTCTGTGTTTGTGAACAGAGGGTCATTTTTCTTATTAAAAAAAAAAAAAGGAAAAGAAAAAAAGGTTTTCAAAACAGACATGCACACTCTCACGCACACATGCATACACTCAGCATACACATAAGACCTTTGTCCTTTTTCTAAAAATCTACGTCAGGTGACCGAGCCAGTCAGGATTCAGAATAAAGAGAGAATGGGATGGCCCTGGAGGACATGCACACTGCTGGGCTCAGAATCTGCTTGGAAGGCACCTCATGGTTTTCACGATGCCGACAGCTACAAGCAACAGGCACTGCCAAATTCAGGGAACACTTGTGGCCAGCTTGGAGGACGGACGTTTCTGGATATGTATACACATACAAAACTTAAAAAGCATTAAAAAAAAATGAGTCTACTAAAATCACATGTTCAAGTTGAAAACATTGCCAGATTAAGCACTAGAGACACACTCTCCCTCCAACGGGGTGGGAGAGGTGCAGGTTGGAGGGGTGGAAGCCCCGCTCCTCTCTCTAACTTTTGCAATATGGGTCACTGTGTAGACCACTCACCCAGTCTATGTGTGGTTCAAAAGTCCCCAGAGTTCGCTCAGAGATGCTGATGGGTGATCCGGACTAGTCTGTGGTTGGCATCTCTCACCAGCTCCATTTCCATGTTCAAGACTGAGGGCCCAAGGGGGAGCTGGGTGGAGGGCATGCAGCTCCCCATCTCCTAGCACCTCCTCCCTATCAGCCCCACAGTGTGACCTCAGGAAGCTGTGGGCCTCACCAGGCTATGACTGACCCGCTCAGAGCCGGTGAGCCCCAATATAGCCCAAGTCATTTGCTCACATTTGCCAAACATTTTGCCATTTTTTTCAGAAACAACAAAAAATACGTGTACGAATTTCCAACTGTTGTATGTATAATTCTCTAATACTATTTTTAACTACTTCTAGAATCTGTGTTAATCCTTCAGTCACTAACAAAGCTTTTCCTTTTCTCCTTTTTTAATGCACCAAAAATATAGGGATTCAAGGGATGCACTCAATCTATTGTAATTTTTATCCTCATCTTGATACCGTGCAAAAAATTGCACAATGTGTTATAAGAAAAAGATACTCCAGGAAGAGTGGAAATGTAGCTTTAAAATAATCACATTTGAGATAACAGGCTAGTGCGACAAGTTACAAATCTGCCTTCTGGCTTCAATCCCCATGGTGATGGCACTGTCATGGGAAGCCCTTTTATACCCATGCTTCATGTTCCAGTGGGCATTTCTGTTAGCCTGTGAAGGAGGCTCACTCAGATGTGTACTGATGTGGGTGGGAGCCATGTTCCTGGGGAAGAGAGAGAGAAAGTGTGGTTCTTACCCACAGCTGTTGAGTGGCCTTTGATATCTGTGACCATACACCTACAAGTTCACATATCCAGGGCATGAAAATGTTAGTGACAGGTCCCAGGTCAGTCCTAAACTCTGTGTATTGAAATTGGCTGAAGCTCCGAGAACAGCCCTGTCATTTGGGTAAGAGCCCTGTGTGGGGAAACTCTCGCACCAGCACACTTAAGACAATATGGCCACTCTCACCCGAGGCTGGATCAGACAGGGGCACCTACATGCATAGCAAAGGGCTCAGTCAGCTCACCCGTCATGTCTCTTCTTTGACCTTTGTTGAAGGCATATCCTAAAATAGACCACAAAGTTTGCTCGGCTTTCTTTTCCACTTTAAACATCCCTACTTACAGTTCACCTGAAGCAATGAAAGAATAAGGCCAGAAGAGTAAAGGTGGGGATGCCCTGCCAAATTTTTGGCAGATAGTGTAAATGCGGGGGAGGTCTGGGTAGTAGCCCCCAAAATACAGGAGACACCAAGCAAAGACAACCAAGAAAGTGCTGCTTGGCAGTGTGGCTGTGATCAGCTGCCTCATTCAGGGTGCTTCTAAGAAAGACCTTCCATCTATCTAGGCTAAGGACAGGCCTAGCATTAGCCTATCCTTGTTTGGAAGCATGGGGGGCTCATCAATATCATAACTAGAAAAGGGTGAACAGTTCTCCAGCCAGTTCATAAAGTGAAGTTTTGTAGCTCTGAAGGCTTTGGTCCCATTCCGAACAGGTTTTGGTTCAGTCTTGTTTTGGAAATGAATGGCTAATGGGTTACTGCCCTCTCTTGACTGTTGTATATCTTTCCAAACTGAGGCCCTGGGATGTATACTTTGTTTCATGAGACAAATTGCTTTTTGGAAAAAAAAAATAATAATTTTTAAGCTCTTTGTATCTTGGATTTTTTTTTCCCCTAAAATGTTCTTAAGGATAACAATGGAACCCAACTCCAGGGCTCACTTTTATCAACAGTTATTTATAAATTGAAACTCTCCCTGTGGCAAAATGATTTTAGTGAATGTTGTGCTATCTTTAAATTTTTCAATTTTTGTCATGTATGACAAAAGAGAAAATTCAATCTACTTTTAATTTTCCTTTTGTATTATCTATAAAAAGAAATACTGTGCATCCAAGGCTAGATCCAGCCCCGTGGTTGTCTATTTGACTTTGAGTGGCATTCTGGATGAAAACTGGTAAGATCTCCCTTGAACATACAGAAAGCAAACCCGGGATGGATGGAGAAGACCTAGGAAATGAATGCTGGAGTTGTCTCTTCTGCAGTCGCCTCCTCCACCATCTTAGTTGAATGTACCCAAGGATGGATGAAAAGGTCTCTGCTGCAATCTTTGACGTATATTTGTAACTCTTACTTGCAGTCCAAGCAGGTTTTATGATTTGTATCTGTGTTGCTTCCCTCGTGTGGGAAACCTGCTTTTCTTCTCTCAAGTGAGGTTGTGCGCTGTCAGGGAACACCCGTGCCTTTGTTACTCACTTCCAACCTCCACCAGGAAGGCCATGAAGCTCCGTTACTCCGGGGAGAATAACAAAGCCACAGGATGCCCAGAATTTCCTCACAGCTAATAAAGAGCAAGAGAATCCATATTTTTCAGTTCCCCTAAGGACCCCACTGCTGGTGCTTAACGGCAAAATAATAAAGGAAGCCAAGAGCTCCTGAGGAGCCGTTTGAGAGTTAACATACTACAAGCAGTAAGGAGTGTGCGCTTCTCTTCTTGCTAATAATCATTTCTTTTTCTCTACCTCACAGTGGGATAGCTGCTTTGGGGATGACTTTTCAAAGAGGGTTGTGTGGTATCTGTTCATTCAGATCCCCAGATCCAGTAATGCCCTGAGTTTCTCCTTGTACAGTAGAAAGACTGGTAGGCCTGAGGTAATCCATGGAATGTCCTATACAAGGACAGCCACCTAGTGAGCCACCAGAAGGTAGTCACAGAGCCCCTGGGAGATTTTCTAAGTGTAAGATTCTAATCTGGTTACTAGTATATCCTCTCCAGTAGCTTCCAGAGGAGGCCATTCTAAAGGAACCCAGAAAATATAAGTATGTATATATGGGCTCACAGACAAATGCTCCGAGGAAACACAGTAGTTGGCCAGCCATTCTTGCCATATGCTGCTTCTGCTCCTGGAGAAGAGTGGTTTCCTCATTAACTGGGGCTTGTCAACCATGGGATGTGTCATAAGATCTGCATGAGAGTCCTGAAAACATTACTCAGTAGTGTTAAATAATAAACATCAGCACGTAGAAGTCCACTGTCTGATCATACAGTCAAAAGAAAAGGACAAGGACAGAACAAGCTACTGTTGCTATTTATTGCGGTCATACTGTACTTTTGCTGTATTTGGTTGTGATAAGCAAGGAGACCCAAGTAAGAAGCTTGGGTAAGAAGTATTTCTTTTCTGGATTTTGCTGTTCTTGATTGTTTTGATGGATGGAACAACCAGCTGTCTGGCCAGAAGTCAGGGACAGCGCCAAACAGTAGGGCCATGGTTGTTCCGGTGGGTTCCCTTCCATACAGTTAACCTTAATTTTTAAGTTAAGAATCCAGGTCGAATACCTCAGAGGCACCAAGTTTTCCAAGAGAGAGTGACAGTGAAATAAAATCTGGTTTAGGAAATTCATTTGGGATCCAAACCCAGCCCTTTTCTTTCTGCTCTTTTTCTCCTTATTCACTACATTCAGCTTCACCCAACTCACACCACATTCTACCTCTCTGAACAAACTGTCCTAATTTCATAGGACAACTGCCCCAAAATGACAAGCCATGGATCCTAGCTCCTCTGGAATATTATTGCTACTCGAGAGCCAGTTAGAAGATGTTCTCACTGGCGGTACAAACAAAGGAAGACTTTTGTTGCTGAACCGTTCACGTGCATTTGCTAGGGATCACTTCTTCATGTAAGACCTGGAACCTATTACTCTACACTGCCTCCACTGCTCTTTACACATGTATTGAATCTTAGCTACTGCCGAGTCATGGCAGGACCAACATGGCTTAGTATACCTGCACTGGGAAATTCAGACAAAGATGGTCCTCTACCTCAGGAATTGCCTGACTCAGAAATGAAGACAAGAGTTCATACCTCTCAGAGATCATCTACGATAGCATAATTTTTTCATTGCAGTGTTTACTTTTTTCAAGGATGTTGGTGTTTGAACATGATGTATTCATTATTTTATCAAAAATGTTGGGCTATGTGCCATCCTCTAGACTAGGTACATGGCCTCTTTCCTCCAAGAGCTCACAGCTCAATGAGATGGACAGACTGGAACACAAACTCAGCAAAAGAATGTTTCAAGCCGGGTTCTGTCTAGGTGTGAGAGATGACTCAGAGATGACTCATAGCAAAAGCAAGATTCGATCCTTAGCTGCAGTAATCAAAGAGAGAGAGAAAGAAGGTGGCGTTCTAGATAATAAATAACAGTGGGTATCTCCCAACTGAGTATTAAGAAGACAAAGGAGAAAGTCATCCCTACCATCACACACAGATAGTGCCACCAAAGTAGGGCAATACATTACTCTTGTTTGGGATTGTTTAGTAAAATACTTCAAGCCTTGTGGGCCATCAGCTCTCAAAACTACTTCCCTTTTGTTGTCACCCAAGATCAGCTTGAAGCAATAAATTAGCAAATGCCTGGGCTGTTTAGCAACAAAGCTTTATTTACAGAGGCAGTCAGTGGCTAAAGGGAAGGTCATGGTGTGCTAAGGCAGTAATGTCGTGGTGACACCAGCAGTTCAGCACAGGTAGGGCAGGTCTGGCACCTATATATAGCTTGGCTATAGTATTGGCTGTGTCATTTTCTCCAAAGGGTCCTGGAATAAGTGTCCATCAACCCTAATGTCCCTGACCAGAGAAGTCTAATTCAAGTATCTCACTTGTTTCCAAAAAGGGGGAAAGTGTCCTTTTGTCATAGACTTTATTGTTTAAGGTAACCTTATTTTTCTCTTGGGCGCAATAGAGAATTTGAACTACAGAACCTATCGTCCCTTCTAGCCTGACACTTGGCATTTTAACTAGCCTGACCAAACTTTTTTGATGGATATAGACACACGAGGGAGTTATATAAGAAACAGGAAAAGAGGAGTGAATCCAGGTACTGAATAGGACTTCAAACCCTTTCTCTCCTCAGCACCAACATAAAACATTGGCACTCTAGAGCTAATAAATCTGTCAGGTAGAATAATCGGTTGGCAGTAGTAATAGCTAATAATAACAGTCACTAATATTTATCAGATACTTACTCTGAACCAGCTGCTGGGCTGGGCTGCTTACATGCATTAACACATTTAATCTTAACACTAACCCTGCAAAGCAGGAATTGTTGCTAGTTTTCTCTCACAGGGGAGGAAAATGAGACTCAGAAGCATTGAGATCTGGCTCAAGGTCATGAGAGGAGCTTCAAACCCAAGCCTGTGAGTCCAAAGTGCCTGTTGGCAGCCATGATAGATGATCTGTCCCTACCAAGCAAAAAATGAGGGAGCCTTCCCTGCCTTCAGGGAATGCCTCAAAAGTCTCCAGCAAAAATGAACTGGAGGCCTCACACTCTTCACATGCCTCGGGGTATATAATAAGCAGGACACAGTGGCAGCTGTCATCTGGAGATAATGTTGCATATTCCTCTTTCGCCATGTTGCTTGTCCCCGATCTCAGTAGTCCATTTATATAAAGTGTTCCACGCAAGACAGGCAGGTGAAAGGAAATGGGATGTATTATGAAATGTACTAAGAGGCCTGGAGCTGTTCTCAGTACCAGACAGAAGTGCCCAACCCCTATCGTACGAGGCATCAAAGCACCTATCTCGTATGCTCAGCCCTGACCCAGGGGCTTCAGACATGCCATATGTTGACTATGTCTGTCTTTCTTTACAGATTGCAGACTTTGAGATGCTGAGTATTTAGACATTTCCATTTTTATCATAACAGCTCAAGTCGACAATCAGGGATTGATAATAATCATACATTTTGAATATTTTTCCATAAGGTAGAAGTGATTATTATTTTTGCTATGAGCAAATGGAATAATGTAGCCAATTTTCAGGAGATGTGACATTTTGTAGGTTGAAATGTGTGCTTTTTCCTCACTGTTTCTCTTAAGTTCATGCTAATCAAACAGAAGGTGGCTCTTGTGGAGATAAATTTGGCAAGAATGTTTGATATATAATCTGAGGCCATAAAATGAAACACAACTGTGCAATACAGGGAGCCCGTAGGAGGAACACAACTGAAACACAGCTTGAGCTTTAATTCAGCGCCTCAGAGGGAGAAGGGGTTGCCAGCTCTTGTTTATTGAGCCTGCTAGCCTCATGCCAGGTCTGAGAATGCAGAACCTCAGCAGCCCTCTTATGCCATCCCTGACAGGTAAGTCATTTCCTCCCTCTTTACAGATCAGACAAGGAAAGCCCAGAAAATTCAAGTTTCCCCAAGGTCACCATCTAATTAGGTCATCAAGAGTCAGTACCAGGTCTTTGTAATTCCCAAAGGAGGTCTCTTTCCAGCCCAGCACACAACTACCAGAGTGGACACTTGGAACCCAGCAGAATATCCATCTATGGTGGGGAGGGGATATGGATAGTTTCCCAGAAAACTGAGCCAGAGCTAAGAGACCTCTACAGAAGGTTGCCTGCAAACACAAGACCATAACATGAGAAAACCTATTCCACTCAAACAATCAGCCAATAGAGCCTATCAGCGCCTTCCTCCTTACACCTAGCCATATCAAACATTTCCCAGCCAGTTGTACTGAATAAGAAGCTCTCTTTCCTACCCTGCCTCACAGAGCAGTCCTAACCCAGATGCAATTTTCCTCCATCCCATTCCTCCTCTGGCTCCTGTGGAGATGGCATTCTGACATGGTGTGCGTGCGTGCGTGTTTCAAGACAGGGTTTCTCTGTGTAGTCCTAGGGCCTAGTTGTTCCGGAACTTGCTCTGTAGACCAGCCTGCCTCTGTCTCCAGAGTGCTGGGATTAAAGGCATGCAGCAC